TTTGTTTGTTTGTTTGTTTGTTTGTTTGTTTGTTTGTTTGTTTGTTTGTTTGTTTCTTTGTACGTTTGTTTGTTTGTTTGTTTGTTTGTTTGTCTGTGAGTTTATTTGTTTGTTCGTAAAGAAGTAGGTGTGGGTGGGTGGCGGGTGTTCTACTTTGGTTTACTCCTTCTCACCCATCAAATATCTATCGTCTCGATCTCTCATTTCTTTACTTGTTTCTCTCCAGTAACAACTCTAGTCTCCGGCACTTACATATAATAATATGACCAATTTATGTTGAAAGTGCCGTAAAACTCTTGCTAAATCTAAACCAAAACGAAGCAGTTGTTTAGAAGAAGGGAATAAAGCAATGCAGATGGACAGGAACGACAGAGGGACAGTTGGAAAAGAAAAAAAGACTGCTTTTTTTTTAGAAACGAAAAGAAGAGGGGATAATGAAAGAAAGTAAGAAACAAACAAACAAACAAACAAAACAAAACAAAAAGGAAAAAAGGACATTAAGAAAAACCACGAGTGTTGCAATTCTCAGTGTGCAATTGTCTCGAGGAAAGAGCTATATATCAGTATCAGTGCCATGTGTTAGGTGTACAGAACAGAAATCAAGGATTCCATTGATGTCACATAACACACACACACACACACACACACACACACACACACACACACACACACACACACAAACACACACACACACACACACCAATAAGAGAGTTCCTCCTAAGATCCAGAACCACCAGTGTTGTGTTGTATTTAAGAACCTCCAGGAAACTGTGCGCCAGCACTGGACACACACACACACATACACACACACACATACATGCACACACACACACACATGTACACACACACAAACACACACACACAAACCCACCAATGAGAGGGTTCCTCCTAAGGTCCAGAACCACCAGTGTTGTGTTGTATTTGAGAACCTCCAGAAAACTCTGTGCCCCAGCACTGGACACTCCACACGCCTGTAGGTCTAGGGCTGTATGGGGGGGGGGAGGGGGGGTGGAGAGAGAGATATAAACATGATAATGATAATGATAGTGATGATGATGAAGGTGATGATGATGATGATGCTGATGATGATGATGACGGTGATGATGATGATAATGGTGCTGATGATGATAGTGATGATGATGGTGATGATGACAATGATGGTGATGGTGATGATGACGATGATGATAGTGATGATGATGATAGTGGTGGTGGTGGTGGTGGTGGTGGTGATGGTGATGGTGGTGTGATGATGATGATGATAATGATAATATAATGATAATAATAATGATCACGGTTATACATTATTTTTAACACAATATTATGACAAAAAGATGCAATTTCTTTTTCATTAAAAACTAAAGGTAGATTCAATAGATTTTCTTGCTTCTAGTTCAGAGAGGGTGAGAGAGAGAGAGAGGGTGAGAAAGAGAGAGAGAGAGAGAGAGAGAGAG